AGCAGTCTGTCTTCCCTTGAGTTTGTACACCTTTTCCGGTATTTACCATTACGATTTTTGAAAGAATTGGTTTCGTTATATTTTTGATAGTTGTTTGTACACCATTTATTGAGCATTTGACTTTTCTCGTAATTTTGACTTGAGATAACCCTTCTTTGAACAATGCAATGATTTCAGCCTTTTTAGTTTCAGGAATGTTTTCCTTCAGAGACATTTTCAACAAAGAAGAAGCACTTATAAACTTGTTACTAAAAAATTAGAAAAGATTTAGCACTACAGATTAAATTTTAGCATTACAGATTAAATTTCAAATAAATGATTTTGCCACTTATGCTAAATAAGTAAAAATGAACACAAATCATTATTAGTAGCCATAAATGCCAGTGAAACATCAATTCAAGAATGCTTATTATAATGTTTTAAGCTAATATATGTACGAGTTTCAATGATATTTCTAACTTTTCTACACCTGCCCCATAATTTTGTCTAAGGGTATATATATATATATATATATATATATATATATATATATATATATATATATATAGAGAGAGAGAGAGAGAGAGAGATAGATATATAGATAGATAGATAGATACCTGGTGTAACAACAAAATTGTCCAAATCATTATCATAACCATCATCCTCTTGACTTTTGTAATCGTAGAGCGGATCCGAATGCAGAAGCCACACTAACTTTTTTTTTCCACAGCAGTCCATCAACGGCAGCCATCACCAATTCTGGTACAGAATGGTACCAGTCCATTGTTTGACATTGTCCAGCCAGTTTTTGCGTTGATGTCCTCTCCTACGTCCACCTTCAACGGTGCCTTGAATGATGATCTTGCAGTCTGTCGTGCCTTGTAATGTGTCCAAACCACGCCATTTTTCTCCGTTTAACATTGGCGAGAAGAGGTTCCCGGTGTCCGACAAAATTTTCAACCCTTTTCCGCACAAACCCATTGTCTTTTTTGTTCTTAATAAAAATTGCCAAGGAGTTTTCTTATACATTTATTCTCAAACGCTTGGATCCTTCTCTATGTTTCTGCCAACAGTGTCAACGTTTCACATCCATATAGGAGAATGGAGATTACCAGCGATTTGTATAGTCCAAATCGTGTAACAAAAAAATTGTCCAATTGATAGATTAAGTTTTGAACCGTTGTATCTTAGAAATGATCAAAGATATTAGAATTCGCCGAGGGTTTTATAAAACTATTGAACTCTACTCTGAGCAATAATAATGTATAATTACTCTCCAATCTTAACAGAAGTGTGATAAAATTGATCATAAACGAAAATGACATATTCATCATTAATTAATCATATCTAAGAATCGGAAGCTCATGAAGGACTGAAATAAAGTTCAAATATATATATATATATATATTATTCAGGAATCATATTCAAACTTATTCAAGATGATCTTCGCTTCGCCTTCTCTAACCTTCTAACTTTCTGTCCTAGAGTAACAAAGTACCTCACATGTTTCACGCACGATTTCATTTTTAAGTTTTCACTGCTCTTTGAACTGTCATTGGTGAAACTCCTCTCTCACGTGCCAAACGTCTTATGGATTGAGTGGGATTTTTTCTAATTGATCTCTTTAGCTCTAAGTTGAAATGACTATCATTCTTCCTGCTGTGACCTCCTGATCCAGTTTTCCTCTCTACTGTTCCCTCTTTTTTAAACTTATTCATTGTTCTCTTGATGGTTCTTGAATGAACTTTGAAGATGGAAGCCGGAGTATGAATGTTGGAACCAATACTGAAAGCCTGAAGGATTTTTCCTCTCACCATTGCTCAGTTGAGAAGATATAGTGGGGCTGATACAAAACTATTTTAACCAGTTTTCTTTCTAGCTGAATATCTCAAATGGTTTTTCAGTGATACTTACGACAAATGGTATCCAAATGGCAAAACGTCTTATCTGAAAACCTGGAAAAAAGGAACTGAATTAGTTTAGTGTTTTTTAGATATTAAACATTTAATGAGATTGACAATTCTGCTGTAACACAATTTGGACAATTTTATATATATATATATATATATATATATATATATATATATATATATATATATATATATATATAAAGATAAATATATACTCTATCTGAAATTTGTCACACTCAATGAAACATGTTTGAATGAAGATATGCTGCCTATATATATATATATATATATATATATATATATATATATATATATATATGTGTGTGTGTGTGTGTGTGTGTGTGTGTATATAGTTGTATTGATTTGAGTTTGTAACCCTATGTTTCATGATTTTGCGATCCTCAGACAAACAAAAGAGACAAAGAGTTTGTCTGAGGATCGCAAAAGCTTGAAACGCAGAGTCACAAACTCACATCAATACAACTAAGTACGCTAGCTCTATCACTGATATTGAGCACTTTCCAATAAGTACTGCGCATATATAATATATAAATAATAATATTATTATTTTCTTTTTTAAATATATGATTCCATCGCGACACAGAAATTTCTGTTTCAAAACTGAAAATAAAGTTGTAAATTTACTTATAAAAATTAAACTTAAAATCCAGAATTTCGTTCCACAAAGTTAATATTTCATATATAAAGTCAATATAAGTTTTGTTAATATATAAACAATACATATATATGTTTCACACACGCGCACACATACACACACACACACACACACACACACACATATATATATATATATATATATATATATATATATATATATATATATATATATATTATAATAAAGAGAACAGTAAGATATATAATCCGGTGTTCTTATTAATATTTTATTTTACAAAACAGTGTTCAATGCAAATCTACAGAACATATATATATATATATATATATATATATATATATATATATATATATATATATGCACATTTCATTGAATTTATTTTTTTTATGCAATTTTTCATGTGATCTTATAATTTTTTCTTTTCGGATGATAATTTATCAAAAAAATAAACTAAATCAAAGCACCTTGTCTGTCGTATTCAATGAAATGTGCATGAAAGAAGGATTGTTGCCTAAATGCACAAGTGTGTGTGTGTGTGTGTGTGTGTGTGTGTGTGTGTGTGTGTGTGTGTGTGTGTGTGTGTGTGTGTGTGAAAATGAGCGCGCGGCCGAGTAGTTAGAACGTTCGCTTTCTGAGCCGGGTTCGAATCTCATCATGGGCGACTTCCTGATGTTATCGGACTGGATCAAGATCGATCCCAGCGTGCGGCACCTTTGGAAAGTGCCTGAAAACCTTACCACGGTTTGACCCAAGCTTTGTGAGAGAAATTGGGTAGACGGAACTCTTGTGGGCCGTCGATAGCTGTGCTGGCACGAAGCCACAAGTCATCGTAGCCGAGGGCTAGAGCGTGCTAGACTTGTTCAAATTTTTGTTCACGATAGATAACACGCTCTCTCCCAGAAAATGTAACTAAGGTCTGCTCAGCATAGTTGCAGTATAAACCACACGTGGGCTCTGTGGGTGTTGAGCAAAAACATAAACGCGCCTGAGTGAGGGTCTGCAACAGGGATTGGCTAAAAGTAGACTTGAGTAAAAGTAGATTGAGGAATCGGAGAGCCGAGTTCGAATTCCAGTCGAATCTATTACATTCACTTACGTGCTAATACCCTTGGGAAAGGTATGAATCCTCTTCTTACTCCCCCCCTCCCCAGCTATGGGTAAATAGCAGGATAGACCGGGTTCTATAGCCTTGGATGGCAACTAGTCTACTGCAGAAAGAAATGGTAACCAACTGCGGGAAAAAAATCTACCTCGTCAGTCATGTATCTATTCCTTGACATTGAGCATTTTAATTATAAAAATTGCTTTCTTTAAATAAAAAAAAAGGTAGCTTCGAGAAATGCCTTTTTTTGAAATTTTTTCCTTCTGTTTTTTTAATTTAATTTTATTTATTGTTTCGTTTTATTGGGTTTTTGTTAGCTTTTTTGTGAAACCTAAATTACTCTCTCTTTCTCTCATCCCCCACACACAGAAAACACATACACAGACACACACAAGCGAATTATTGAAGAATAAAAGTAAATATTCGATAATCACCGTTGTTATTGTTTCATTTTATTTGGTTCCCCGAGAAAGATTACCTCTACACAGTGTCCAACTAGTTCCTTCACCTGTAGACTACAACAATTATGACGTTATAAATAAAATCCCTAATTTTTTTTTCAGATCTCCTCCATTTTTTACGATCCCAAACTCAACATCAAGAACAGTCCACGTCTTCACACACAGCAGGTATTCCAGTGTATATAATCAGTTCCAGAGGTTCAACATTGTAAATTTTTCTGTTAATTTTTCTGATTCAAAAAAATTCAAGATTTTTAAAGAAAATTTTGGACGTGCTAGAAATTATTAAAATATGTCAAAAAATATTCAAAAAATACTTTGATCTTTCCTCTTGATAATAACAGTAACATTTAGACGATAAAAATTATTTTCATCAAGTTTAAGGCCTTTTTTATTCATGGTATGCTATTTTTTTATCGATCTCATGAACATGCCTAGATTAATTAATTCATTAAATTAAATACATACCTCTTCTTAGATCTCTAATAATTCGTGGCCAAAGTTAATTTTTAAGTATGTAGTTCCTGGAAATTCATATCCTATGCAACACCTCCCCCGTAACACTAAAAGAAGTCGGGTCAGAATTATTTCCTATTGGTTGTGACAGTGTTGATGGAAATTGGTAAGTTTTGTATTTACCCACAAATGGTTACCCCCACATGAAAAAAATAAGGCCACATAATTCATATCTTAAAAAAATGAAGCGACTGACGACTCAAAAAAGAATCGTGCTTCATAGATAAATATTTGTATCTTTAAAAAACTAAAATCAAACGTGCTTATTTTCTTATTATTATCTTATTTTTATATATATATATATTTAAAACTATATTCATCTTTTTATTTTTTTAAAAAATGGTTACTATTTAATTAGTAACCATATTTCAGTTTTAAGAAATTGTTTCAAGAACTCAATGGAGGGGAAGTAAATCAGTTAATTTAACAATTTTGCCCTGACCGCGTCTTCTGTGTTTAAATTAGTGGACATTTATTAAAGTTTGTTACCAAAAAAAAACAGATGGAAATACATTTAAATATTATTATTATAGTAATGTATTTTTATAAAGTGAATAAAAAATAATTTAACATATTTGCTAAAAAAAAAATATCGACAGTCGGAAGTGTTCGAGAGTATGTAGTTAGTGTATCATAAACGTCGTTTTCCCAGCGTAGAAGCAAGTATCCAGTGTTTATTCTCGTGTATGTTATGTAGTACTTTTTGTTTTATTTTGTTATTTCTGTTTTTCTTTGAAAGTATTTATTTAGATAATATACTATCAAAATTAACTGTTTTGAATTCATCCTTTTTCACACGTCTGCCTAAATTTTAACGCTATTTATTTGGATAGACGAATCACATTGTCTGAACAGAAACATGGCATCTCCAAAACCGCAAAAAAAAAAAAAAAAAAAAATTAATTTCTCGAAATCTTTTACTTCTATATCTGTTTGTTAAGCCATATTTATCTTAACATTTTAGACAATCAGTTTATTATAGAAAGAAATTAATAAAAAAAAATATGAAAAATAAGTTTTTTTATTTGTCTTTAAAAAATTGAATTATATTGTCATCTTTTTCTTTTAAATCTTTGTCAGTTTTGTTTTAAAATTGTTTTTAGAAAATATATTTAATTTTTAAGTGTCATTGCTTTATTTTTATCTAATATATTTTTTCTTGTGTCTTTGGAAAAATAAACTTAATATTTTATTTATTTTTTTTTAAACATTTATATTAAATCTCAGATCAGTCGTAAATTTTATCAAAATTCATGTTTGAATAATCGCTATTTTTTTTTTTTTTTCTAAATTCTTGATTATAACAAAATGGACGATAAAAACTGACTAAAAATTTATGTTTAATTTTTATCAAATCCATGCTTTTAAAATTATCTTGGCACATTTATTTAAATTTTACATCGTCATATAATATATTTCCATTACAAATGATTTCCATATTCTTGTTGGATTAGAAACTTCAAAAATTTGCAAAATCACATTAATTTATTGACCACATCGACTACTACACGTGTATGAATGATTCGAGTTTGTTTTTTGTTTTTTTTAATTATATAAAAATTAAAAATACTCTCCCTAAAACATTTTTTTTTTCAAATTTTTCATTTTAGAAATTAAATATAAAATAATTGCTTCCAAAAGTATCCAAAATTAACATAAATTGAAGCAGGATTTTTTAGTTAAAAAACAAAAAACGTGGGTATTTGAACATGTGCAAGATCAAATTGTTTTCATAACGATCAAAATTTTATAGTTTATTTTTGTCCGTTTGGCATCGTTCCAGTATTTATTTTTGACAATCTTTTTTTTTAATTTAAGAAGTTTAAAAAAAAAAAAAGGATATAAAAAAAATTAATTGGGCGATGAAATAATTTTTTAAGGTAATTTTAAAAAGAATTTCAAATCATAAATTTCCAATTCAAGTGGTTAAATGTGCAGTTTTCAAATCTAGCGTAGATTTAATGAATTTCTCAATCAGAAAATAAAATGTAATTTTTTTCATTTGAAAGCGTATTGTTTTTGTTTTTTTTTTAATCCTTCAGTTCACTATTTTAGAAAATTCTAAGTACAAGAAATCACTTTTGATTTTTTCTAAATGAATAGTTTCATCAACATCTCTAAAGATAGTGTATATTTATTTGGCTTTTTGATAAAATAGCAGTTTTTTTTTTTTTTACGAATATTGGCTTGGAAAGGACATTTTTAACTAAATTTATTAACCGACTTTTTTTTTCAGTTGTCGATTATTACAGGTAGTTCTGGATCACCATATGAATCTTCTACACATATCATTTTTTTTCTTTTTTACTGAAGCTTATTACAAAGTTACCATTATATTAACCAGCCACTCCCTTCTTTTTTTTTTAGTGGGGAATCTGCCGGTTATATGACATTGTGTGATGATACCTTTGTTCACAAGTAAACATTCAAAATGGCCGCTTTATTCCCATAGTCACGTGACCGATTTCCGAACTGCTGCCAACATTATGAAGACTTTTTTTGTTTTTTTAACTGATTTCTTCCTCATTGTTTTGAATAGTGTTCCTATTAAAAAAGGGGTGAACATTTTTGTAGGCTTAACGTGCTTAGCTTAAGTTGTCTGAATAGTTGGTTTTCATTAAAACTACTAGCCGGACCCGGAGAAATCTCACAAACAATTATTAATAAGTGAGATTATCATTTTACAATACATCATGCCTCTGCTCTTCTCTCGGGATTTGCCTGTATCTTCTCACTCTCTCCCTTATCCTTTCCACTCTTTATCACCCATCCATCTATTTATCTAAATTTTATACAAACATGAATTCATTAATTTCATATGTGAAAAAGAATGCCCAAATATTTTCTAGTGCATCCTCACTTTTAGTATTATCTTTCTTTTGCTCTCTCTCTCCACAAAAAAAATGAATGGAATGCAATTTTTATACATGATTTCCAACTAGCAAGTCTGTCTCTCTTTTGTCTTATTCCTTCTTTAGATGTGTGACTGCACATACATGCCTGCATATATATATAATAAAGAGCAAATAGGAAACGTATATAAATCTGACATGTTTCGATTTTATTAAAGCTTTGTCAGAGATTGAGAGAAAACAGACAAAAAGATAGAAACGCTGGTATTTTCAATTATGTTTGGGTCAGTTCTCATTGGTCATACATGTGTCACATGTATTAAAACCATATAACTTTAGGCATAACTTTGAGTCCACTAATTCCACCCTAATTAAAACAAAAAAACAATTCTTTAAGGAGAAAATACATTGAAAACTTAAAAACATTATTACCAACTATAAACACATCCCTAAAACAGGATATTACATTGCCATATTTCTTTGAATCCATTCTAAAGAAGGCAACCATAAATTAAAACCTTGTGATACCCTGGTGTGAAGACTGACCACACAAAGGTGAAGACATCAGGACTCCCACTAGACACACATACATAATTACCATCCAGTGCCCACTTAGATATATAAGAGTCTTCACAAATTTACATACGCATAGAATTATCAACAGTTTTAATGCATATGTCTGGCAATGAGAACTGACCAAAGCATACCTGAAAATACCAGTTTCTGTCTTTTTGCCTGCTTTTTCTCAATCTCTGAAGAAGCTTTAGTAAACGTGAAACATGTTACATTGGTATGTTTCCTATTTGTTCTTTATTTTATCATCCTGCCAGATTCCAATTCATATTTTGTGTGTGTGTTTCCTATTAACATAAATGTTTTTTTGTGGATATGTATATTTGAATAGATGCCTTGTTTTTTATGAATTATGCCTACCGGTCTGTGTGCATTCAGAAATTTTAATAAAGTATGAATATCTCACAGGCATGATTTGAATCTGTGTCCCCCTTTTGTAAGAAAAACCACCATTTGATCTGGCATGCTTCGGACTGCTTGTGTATGTGTATATATGTAGGAGTCTCTTATTGCATTTGCTTTTAAAAAACAGGTCTTCTCAGCTACATGCAGAGTCATCATGATGTCAATTAGCAATATGATGTCCACAATGATCATACATGTACAATCTGCCATAAAGTGTGTCGATCTGCAAGTGGACTTACATGACATTTCCACAGCCAGCATCCAGAACAGCAGGCTGCAGTAGGAAGACTGATATGTTGGCAATGTGGGAAGAACTGCAAGACTCTTGCTCTTAAGAACCATTTGAGATGTCATCAGCGACAAACTCATGATAATTAAAATGTGTGAAAAATTAAGAAAGTATGAGTGGTGTAAGATAGTCTTACTCAGTCACACATTGACTTCCACCATATATATATATATATATATATATATATATATATATCCTTCAGGAGTAAGATAAATCATTTGAATTTAAATACATTTAGTTTACCTTATCACTGAAGAACAGGGTAATTTCTGCAAAAGTTGAAGTCAAGAGATATGTCTTGAATTATTAGCTGGTTAAAGCATTTTATATCCCTTTTCTCAAATACACTAGTTAAGCCAAATATATTTTATATATATATATATATATATATAGGTACCTCCACTTTTAGCATAAATTTTCGATACCTAAGAAATTTGTAAACAAACAAAATTTTAAATTTAAACTTCTTCCTAAAATAAATTTATATATTTTTGACACGTTATTTGAGTAAAATTAGAAAATTTAAAGTTAAAATAATCTGATATGATACAAACAGTACTTACTTATAGCTTAAAAAATTTGTGTCCAAACATTTCTTAACGATGTATCTGAATTTTTTGCATGTCTTTCATCGCGTTCGCAAATGACGAGGTGATGACAGACAGCTATGGATGATCAAAATTGACAAATTTTTAAAAGTAGGTGAACGCGGTTTTTCGTTTTTAACTAGTACTTTTTAAATATTAACATTTTTATTTAGCAATTATGTACTATTTAGTTTTTTATTTCATACTTTCTTAATTAGACAATTCTTAAAATTTTTGAAATCATTACATAATTGTTTAAACTTTTCTTATTAATTAGAATAATTGTATATAAACTTTTCTTGTTCAAAACTTTTTCATTAGATAATAACTTTTTAATTTTTTTAGATAATTGTTTAAAGTTTTTATTAGATACTAATTCTTTATTTTTTTAATTATATAATTGTTTAAATTTTTTAAATAGATAATTCTTTTTTATTATTTAGATAATTCTTTTTTTATTATTTAGATAATTCTTTTTTATTATTTAGATAATTCTTTTTTATTATTTAGATAATTCTTTTTTTATTATTTAGATAATTCTTTTTATTATTTAGATAATTCTTTTTTATTATTTAGATAATTCTTTTTATTATTTAGATAATTCTTTTTTTTTTATTATTTAGATAATTCTTTTTTTTTTTATTATTTAGATAATTCTTTAAACTTTTTTTATTATTTAGATAATTCTTTAAACTTTTTTATTATTTAGATAATTCTTTAAACTTTTTTATTATTTAGATAATTCTTTAAACTTTTTTATTATTTAGATAATTCTTTAAACTTTTTTTATTATTTAGATAATTCTTTAAACTTTTTTATTATTTAGATAATTCTTTAAACTTTTTTATTATTTAGATAATTCTTTAAACTTTTTTATTATTTAGATAATTCTTTTTAAACTTTTTTATTATTTAGATAATTCTTTAAACTTTTTTTTATTATTTAGATAATTCTTTTAAACTTTTTTTATTATTTAGATAATTCTTTAAACTTTTTTATTAATCATTTCATTTTATTAATTATTTCAATGAAATATTATCCAAAATAAAAGAAAATACTTTAAAGAAAAATATTTAATAAAAAGTAATTAAAAATAATTACAACTTTTAAAATTTGAAAAGAATTTCTGCAAACACGTTAACGATGTGGATCTGAACTGGACAGAGAAGAAAAATAACTGCGGTGCCAGACAACACAAATCATGTGACCTTTTTAAGGATTATGTCGCATATACATTTCCATACATAGAAATTATGAACGTTTTTTCAATAAAAATTTCTTTTTAAAATTATTTTTAAAATATTTCCGTCCAAACAACTGTTATGTGCTTTTCAAAGTTCAATTCGTAAATTTACATTTTCATTAACGTTATCATTGCATTACGTGCACGAAAGAAATAAAGAATTTTAAAAATGGGGAAAAAAATTTGCAAAAATACATTATTCATTGGAAAATTTTTATTTCTTCACAAAATAATGTCCTTAGTATAAGGTATCTACAAAAACAGGTGGAAGCTTTTCTAATTAATTAATGTCATACATTTTACTTTTTTTTTTTTTTTTTTATTACAATTCAAAGCAGATTTTCTATAAACCAGCTAATGTCTTACAAAAAAAAAACTGGTGATTTACTTTCTACAAAGAGTCCTGTTTATAACTAATAAAAAAAAATCCCGCGCGCGAAGATTTAATTTCTCGAAATTTCATGAAAATATGTAAGTGGGTGGAAATATGTTCAAAAAAAAAATCTCTTTTTAACAAGATTTTCTATAAAAAAATAAAAAAAATTTTCAAAAATAATTTCATTCATTTGTGAATAAGTCCTGAAAGTTTCATTAAAATCTGACAATTATTTGATTTTTGCAAGAATTTTTAAACTTAGGTATCGAAATTTATGCCAAAAAGTGGAGGAACCTATATATATATATATATATGTACTGACCAATCATTTTGATTTTAATTCCAAGAAAATAGTATAAACTTAATAATGAAAAAAAATAGTTTTGTGCAATTAAAGCATGTTTTAAACTTTTTTTAATTATAATATACAAAATTACTTCAATTATACTATGAATTTATGAAAGTCTGTTTAAATTATATATATATATATATATATATATATATATAATCCTACCTACCAATCATACGTGACAGTTAAGAATAAATTTAAAGTTCACTGACATACCTTAGTCTTTACGTGGCAGGATACACAGTAGATTAAAAGGAAAATATGTTGTTTTCCTCCATGACAGAACAGCCCTCACACAACACGAATAATGCTGGAAAAAAATTTGGGACTCGGTTTGTCTGTTCTATCCCAACTGCTATATTCACCTAGCCTTGCATCAAATATTTTTTCAATTTCTGCAAATGATGAGGGAAACTTTCTCATGAAAACTAGATTCAAGAGTTTGTCAAAGCCTGCAGAATTCTATTGAAAACTTATCAAAGAGTTGCCTGATAAGTTGCAAATAAGGGTGAATATATAGTTGAATGAAATGTGATTGTATTGAAAAATTATTCTTAAAAAAAAATGTGCTATTACAATTTTTTCATCAGTTTATAATCAAATTATGACTCGACCTGATAGCATCTGACTTCCCAATGGGCAACAACCAAGTTGAGCATGCTGTTCCAAATAGGCATATAATAATTATAAGAATTCCTCATCTTCAAAAATTCTGACATAGAATCTCAACTGGTTTAATCTCTTATACAGATGTTTTTAGTATCTAAATTACATTTCATTAAATAAAAAGGATTTGATTGACTTTGATTTCCATAAACTTGTAAAATACTTTTTACATGAATGAATAAACATTTTACATAAATGAATAAGTATGGTAAATATGTACTGAAATCCAAAAATTAGCAGATTTGGTGTAGATTTTGAAATTCTGGATGTTTTTTCATCAAAAACTTTTCTTATGCAAATTATGTCACATTTTTTCATATAGTGTAAACTTTTCAAACACATATCTCTAGTTCTACAAAGTTTTTTTTGTGTTTTTTTTTCAGAATTTTTGTCTTACTAATGAAACAAAAATTATATTAATTTATCAGATATTGCTGCTTTTTTTTTTTTTTTTTTTATCAAAAGTGCATGGAGGTACTTCTTTCTGCTAAAAATACCAGAAAACTTTTGAAATTTTATTTAAAGATTTTGTTAATTTCTAATAATTTTTATAAAGTCTTAAGAATTCCTTTGAAAATAGAGTGTACGATTTTCCTTTGCAGATTTTAAAGAGCTCCATTACTCAAACGCATCATGTCTGGTAAGATTGGCACCAACACAAATGATCCATTGACCGCCAACTCTCGTCTGTTTGTGGGAAATTTAAATACATTTGCCTTGAGCCAAAAAGATGTAGAACAGATATTTAGACGATATGGTTTTGTAGATGGGATTTCCATTCATAAAGGATTTGCTTTCATTCAGTATACCAGTGAACATGAAGCGAGACTTGCTCTGGCTAGTGAAAATGGAAAAACATATGCTAATCAACAGCTTGGTAAGTATGCATTTGAATAGGCATCAATTTCTTTTTCTCCTTAACTAATGAATTTCATAAATTAACTTAATATATGACAGCATATAAGTCATGCCCAAATTTCATCAGAACAAATCAAGAAAAAATTAGTATTTAGTAAAATTATTAGTAAATGGTACAGCCTAGGCTATATTTATGAGGTATTTCTTTGATTAAACAAGCCATGGTTACAATTAAACAAAAAATGATAATAAAAAAAAGAACACGAGCCTATAAAAACTTTATTATATCTTTTATATGATCTGTACAACCTGCATCTTATTTTACAAATATATAATTTGAATTTATTGCATATAATTTTAGTGAAACAAAGTACTAATATAAAACATAATGAATATTATTGATGATAACACTTTTAATCTGCATAATAGCCTTCTAAATAATGACAATAGGTATATGAAAGTTAGTCTAAGCTAATAGGAGTTGCCAGGTAGCAAATTTTGGCTATCATGAATTTTAAACCTACATATTGCATATAAGATGCAGGGGAATTTTAAAAGATATTTTTAGTAAAAAAAGAAAAAGTGTGCCTTCTTATATGCCGTCAAATACAGTAATTGGTTTATAATCTGTAAGAAAAGAGAGATCAAAGTAAATACAATTTCTTTTCACGTGGGTCATTTGGCAACCAGGTGTACCCCTAAAGATTAAGATCCTAAGCAGATCTGGTCATATTTGGTTGTAACAGGACATTCAATCTCAAAAATGCTGAAATCTTATTTATTTTTGTAGCATTCTTTTTATTCCAACCTAAAAGAAAATTATTTATTCTTTGAGTGTCTCCATAATCTTTATCATGAACATTTTTTAATGAAATCTAAGGGCCGAGTTCAAATTCCTGTCTACTTTGTTGCATTCACTTACATGCAAATACACTTAGGGAAGATATAAATGCATCTCCTTCCCCAACTATGTGTTAAATAGTAGGACTTGTATCTGGAAAAATCATTGTTATTCTCAAAAAATTACTAAGGCAATATTCACTTGCAAAAAAAAAAAAGAAAAGAATTACATTCAAAAAAAATGTTTCAGCTTTAGATAACCCACATAAGCTGTAAAAAAAATAAAAGCTAATCAATTTAACAATGTCCAATTTATGTGCAACTTGTTTTGTTACATTCACTTTCATACACATATCATAGGAAAAGGTATGAACCCCCAACTATGGGTTAAATAGTAAGACTTGTAACTGGAAAACTCAGTTATTCTCAAAAAATTGTTCATACAGTATTCACTTGCAAAAAAAGGATTATTCTTACATTCCAAAAATATGTTCTGGCTTTAAATAACCCACAAAGGGTTGATAAGCTGTAAAAAAAAAAAAAAAAAAAAAATCAATAAATTATTGTGAACTATTTTTAAGATGTCCCTGAGGAAACCAATTTTATTTGATCTTAAGTAATCTGTACAGATTTATGTAAGACTTAAGTAATCTGTACAGATTTATGTTTTGAATTTTTTTTTAGTTTATAATAATTTCAGTCAATTTTTTGTGTATTTATGACATATGCTATTTTAATAAAAATGAATTAGATATCATTTAAAATTTCATTACTATCTAAAAGATTTTACCTTGAAACATTATGCCAAGGAATGTATTAAAATTTAGCAGCACAATTAGAAGTGAAAAATTATCAACATAAGTCTTACTCTAGTATGAGGAAACAGTTAAAACCTTTATTGAAATACTTGTCAACTACACAATTTACAATCAGTCATAAAAAAAAGAACTCAAATTAGTAAAAAAGCAGAAAATGTTAATAAAGTAATTTATGTAATAAAACTTAAATTTAAATGAGAAAGATAAAAATGCTATCAGTCACTTTGTTATATTTTAATGATTTAGACCAAGGCAACATAAATAGTTGACCAAAAAATATTAACCTATTGTTGTAGTTACACTTTATGCAAAATCTGAAACAATTCTTGCAGGAGTCATTTAAATATTTTAATAAACAAAATCTTTACTTTTAGAGATATTTCTGATGATTACTATACATGGTTTTTTTTTTTTTGTTTTTTTGGGTTTTTTTTATTTAGAAATATAATTTTTTTTAATCTTTTCACCCCAAACAAGATGGGAATGCCACTAGTACACAGAGGATTATAGGGAATGAAAATGAGAGAAAAGACTGAGTATAGGGAGGATTGAGGAAAGGACAAATGTGGATTTGTAGATCCAAGAAGAGAAAAGATTGCAATTGATGTTGCATTTGAATTATTGAAGATTGTAGTTATCAGGAAGCAAGTAAATGGAAGGGATTTCCGCAGGTGGGAAGTGTGAGAAAAGAAACTGATGGAGTAGAAGTAGCAGTTGCATTTAGCTATTTCAACAGTAAATGCATGGGAAATTCATGTAGTCAGGGAACCAGGGAAAAAAGCTTGTCAGAGTAATTGCCATGAAAATATTTGTAGAGAAGACAGAAGGAAGCCATGTCACATCATTGAGAAAGTGACTGAACTCAAGATGTCTGGTCAGGATGAATTACATTACAGACTGTGCTTTGGATTTTGTCAAGAATCTCGAGATCCAAGTACATTAAAAAATCTGTTAGTTATTTCATTTGGATATATAAAATTTTAAAGAATTTATTAAAATGGTCACTAGACGGTGGAGTGATGGATAGCAGTGCAGGTTGAGAAATCAGAGAGCCCAGTTCAAATTCCAGTTGAATCCATTACATTCACTTACATGCTAATATCCTTGAGAAAGGTATGAATCCTCTTCTTCTCCCCCAGATATGGGTAAATAGCAGGACAGACCGGGCTATATAGCATTGGATGGCAACTGGTCTAGCGCAGAAAGAAATGGCAACCTACTACAGGAAAAATTCTGCCTCGTCAGTCATGTATTGAAAAATACATGATTGTCTATGCATGTATCATGCATGGCATTTAAAAAATAAAATAAAATTGAAAGAACTCTGAGGAAATGATTCAGCATTTTAATTACAAATATAAATAATTCAGTCCAAGCACAAAAATGTACTATATATTTAGGGAACATTTTGAAATACTCTTGTATAGATTATTCTAAAATGAAATCTGCAAAATACAACCTTTTCTTTTTTTATTAAAAAAATGCTGATAAATGCAATAGTGACTCTAAAAATGTTAACAATGAATTTAAAATTATCATAGCTCCTCCAACTACTTACTTTTAATTTTATATCACGGTTAAGATAGTTAATTCTGCTTTCCATCAAAATCAAATTTATGGATATACTATCTGAAAAGCTAAGGAATAATAAAAAATATCTACATGTAGTGACTCACCTCACTTGCCTTGACCAACTGTAACAAATGTATAAGAATCAAAGAATAACTAGAATGGCATCAGTGTTTGGCAGGTTAAACTTTGGCCCATTTTTCATTTCTTCTCTTCCATCTTCACAATATTATAATTTCTAAACTGAATTCTCTAGTTATCAGTCTTTAAGCAAGAACATAATCTGTTCTGATTTGTTTAGAACTTTGTTTTCTTTCCATTATTTGAACTTTTTTTTTCTTTTTTAACTGTTTTAATAGATATAAACCTGTGTTCCGAATCTAAGCCAAAGCGAACATTTCCATCTCCCAGTACGACCCCAGTTCCTCACAGTCATAACACAAGCAACACTTATGTGAAACCTCCTCCAATGCAGATGAGTCGCATAAACCGGTAACATTTTTATTAACTTTTATTCTTTTCTCATTTCTGACTTTCTTTCTAGGTGCTTCAATATTGGAACGTCATCAACTGTTGTTTCTGAAAATATGGCAAATGAGGCTGGAAGCACATTTTTTGACTATTGCTTTATTTCAACTTTCAACCTAATGCAACTTTTAAATAAACCACCATATTTGATAAGCGACTGTAATTTTTAATATAACTTAGTTCTTTTTGGTCAAGAACATTTTGAAAACTTATTTTTTTATTTTTAAACCAGGAGAAACCTTTCTTTTCTTTTTTTCAATCTTCACTAGAATTCTTAAGTATAATTCTGATAAAAAAAAAACTAAGATACACACATTTGTGTTGGGAAGAATTTTTGTTTCAATGGTACCTTGGCCATTGGCCATCAATCAATTGTTTCTTCTTCTTTTTTCTTTTTTTTTTTTTTTTTAAGAACCATAAATTAAATTTATTGGATGGCTAATTTTTTAAGTTGAATTATTCTGGTTGGTATAAATGGCTTCTTTTTATTTATTTATAATTTTTAAGGTGAATATTTAAGCTCCTAGATTATTTCATAACTTTTTATTTCATCTTTTTATTAAATTGGCTATGAAAATATGATGTATATACTTGATATTTTATTCATTATGTCTATTTTAATTTTTATATTTTCTTATTGATTTTCAAATTTAAACCACATTATCTAAATTGTTGTTAATTATCTGCTCCATTATGTGTAGTGTGTAAAACTTGTTGAATACAATATAGATTATATAAACAGTTTAATCATCATGAGAACCAAAGTAGCAACTTGTACAGTTGATTTAATACTTACTGATCAAAACCCATTAGTGTGTCCAATAATTAAGTATGTGTTGAGAAAATGCTCATCTGTGTGAAAATAATAAAAAGGTGTCACAAAGTTTGGTACTTTTATTTTTGTCTCTTCAATGTCGTCCTCTATTATAAACAGTTTTTTTTCTGCTTGAATTATTCCCCATATTTTGTTGTTAATTTTGAAATTTTTTTGTATTAGAAAGTTACTTTATACTACTGATCGTCACTACTGATGATGTCCTTTTTCCCAATTTGTAATAGTACAAAGTTACCAATGATGTAAGCAGTTTCAAACTTGACATTTGTCAATAAAAACAAATACAGATAACTCTTTAAGAAGTCACTAATCGATTTGACAATATATCTATATTATGAACAAGACCTCCCTTTCTAAAAGAATAAACAACAGCATCTTTTTTATTATTCTGGTAAATCATGTGGTTTGTTGAGGGTCTAATAAATGCTAATCTACAAAAACTATTTCCACCACCCCCACCAACGTTTCCCTATTTTTTTTTTTTTTTTTTTTTTTTTTACAAGTCAATTTTAGTGCCTTGTGGTTAAAGCTTTACCTATGGATTTGAACACAAAACCAATATTATTCAATATGTTTATTTTTTTAAAGATTTTAGAAGTACAAAATTTAATTAATGTAATAAAAAAGGACAAGATAGAAACTACAACAGTTGGCAATAAGAAAAGAATAAAAAAAGTACTATAGAATGAGTTAATCAGTTATCACTCCTCACTCATCGTAACTCGATCAGGAAAATCAAAATATTATGCTCTCCAACTAAAAAAAAAGGGGGGAAATTGTGAAGATATACATGTATCAGTAATATATTGAGGCAGGTATATCTATAAACTGATTACACTATGTTTGAACAAGCAATCCTTTTGTTTGCATAAGGGTGTTTGTCATTGTTTAATATAAAATGGTCTCAAGGAATTTCAAGTGATAGTCACTGTGCACAATATTTGAATTTTTTCAATCTGGCTCTGATGAGTAAACAGCGATAACTAGCTTATTCTCTTTTTTTTTTCTTTTTCTTTTTTCATATTGCTGTCATTGAAGTTTCCTTTTTTTTACTTTTTATTATGTTTGTTTTTTATCGCATTATTTATTTTTCCTTGCATTAGTTTCTTAATGGGAAAATTACAGATAAATAATGGCCAAAACATAATTATTTGCTAGTTTCGTTGATTTAAAATTTTTGATGGCAGTTATACAAGTATTGTATATATCACTTCAGTATTTGAGTACAGAATTTTTTATACAGGGTGTGACAGAAATACCTTCAACATAATGGTAAGACATTAGCTAGATTTACATGCACGCCATTGCCACTAATGTCTTACCATAATGTGGGAGGTGTTTCTGCCACACCTTTTATAATCTCATATTATTGAAGGCACGATACCTTTTTTCTTTATGTGTATAAAAGTAAAATTTAAAAAAGTATTCCTAAGATTTTTATCTTCAATTTTTTTTTCTGTCACCCCTACACCTTGAAAATGTCATAAAAATCTTTAAATTTTGAGATGGTACATTTCTGTCTCATCACATGTTTGTAGTTTTTTATTTTTTCAATTTCTTTTTTCTTTCTTTTTTTTTTTTTTTTTCTTTTCTCCTGGATTTTACAAATTCTATCTGAAATTTCTTATGAAAAAAAAATGTGTGTTTAAAACCCCATTTTCTTCAAAATGATCATTTTTGTGAGAAGCAATAACTTTTTCATTCATGTTCCTGCTGGACAATATAACCAGATATATTGTATTTTGGGGACATTTATTTATTAGATTTTTTTTCATTCTGTAGGGGTTCCAGAATGTCTTTAAATTGACTTTCAGTGGTAACAGTTCTTTGGGTTTCTCTTTTTAAAATATTTTAAAATTAATTTTCTTACATTTGTTAAATACATAAAATGATTTTAGAATGAAATTTGTCAATGACATAAAGGTTATGTTTTACAAGATGGAGAGTTGTAAATAACTGCAAATCCTAGAGAAATAGTTTAGAATTTCTGCTAATTTTACAAAAAAAAAATGTTATTTTTATATTAGAATACTTGTTGAATATTAAGAATTTTGTCTTTTTTAAACATGTTAGGTGACATCAATACTTGTGAAATATCAAATGATTTTCATGATAGGATTTATTAGAGAATGTCTATATACAAAATCAATATTTTATTATATATGCAAATTACTTCTATCTGTATTATATTTTTATACTGTTATCTCAAAAACAAATCATTTTAACAACAATTGCTAAATCTATATTTTAATATAAGTGATAATTAACCATAATGATACAAACTGAATGATTTTGTAATTTTTTAAATATTTTAAAATGTCAAAAATATCAACATTTTTCACTTAGTTTTTTTTATTGATTTTTAATATTGTTTTTTTTTTTTTAACTATTTGATTTGATTTTAGTTTACATGATCTTTTCTGACAAAATTTTGATGATAAAATTTCAAATGAAATTCAATGTCTAAGTTATTTTTTTTATTATCACTGATTATTTCTTTTTTCATTTGTAAATGTTAATATGAACTAATTTTAAAACATCATTTTCCACATTAGTTTTTACTTGAAACTTGTTTTTTCTAATAATTTTTTTAATATTAAAATATCTATTTTTACAAACTTTTTCTTCTGTAATAGAATTTATATAGAATAGAAAATCTTCATGTTTTATATATCAGCAATTTAAAAGTTGGTTTTAGAATATTTGTGTATAAGTTTAAATATTATTTATTCAACCTTAATACTGTTTGTCACATATTTGTATTCATGGAGCATCAAATGAAAACTTATTTTCAAGAAAGCCTACTTTCCACTGCACCAGAAATAAGTGTTATATTTTTACATTTTAATGTAATTTATTGGTTAACTGGAGAAACATTTCCAAATGAATTTGTTATTCTGATTCAACTGTTGTTTTAGTGCAAAACAACATGCTAAGTCAAAAATGATAATTTTTTTTTAATTTTTTTTTTTTTTTACCTCTATACTTCTATTTACTTTCTATATATCTATATTTTTCTTTTTTTTTTTTTTTTTTTTTTTTTTTTTTTTTTTTTTGTAAATGCATTCAAGGTGTCAAATGTAAAGAAATAAATATTAATATCTAATAAAGAAAAATAGATTCAGTCTCTATTTTGATTTAAAATCTGAATCTGATTCGATCCTCAGTTCTCAGTTCAGTATTTGTTTATTACTTTGTATTTGTAAAACTTGGTATGCATTTCATTGTTTCTTCTTATAGAAGCATATAACCTACTAGTATTCTTATCAATTTTATTATTTTGGCAATTCATTTTAGTTTTTCTTTTTAACTGAAAATGAATCATTTTCTTGCACTTTTTATAACTTATAATTCTTGGCTAGCATAAGTTAAATATTGCCATATTTCCTAAAGTAATTGAAAGGGACAACTGAAGTTTTCTCACAAATTAGCTGAATAAATAGTTCTTAAGTCAAATCAAATTTTTTTTTTATTCATATAGTTTTTATTTTTTTTCAAATACCTGTTAATAAGAGTTGAAAATGATTAAAACAAAACATCTACATTTTTGTTTTACAGATAACGACAGCTATTAGGGAGATGTGATTAAATATACTTTAATGTTTAAAAAAAATTTATTCACTATTATTATTGTTTGGGTAATAAGCATTATAACATAGCACAAATAGCTATATTGTGGAAACGGGAATTTTCAACAATACACGCATTTTTTACATTTTTGTTTATTTTTTTTAACTTTTATCAAAAGCGACGTTCTTGTACATGTAGTTATGAATAATATGATACATTAATTAATTTTTTTAATTAACAACTATTTGTTCTCAGTTGTTGACATTAATATCTATTTGCTGATGTGTTAAAATTTTGGTATAATGCAATAATAAAAAATTAATCTCTCTGATAAATGTTGCAATCTGTTAAGTAAAACTATCAATCAGATATTTTCCTTTTTTTTTTTTAAGCTTAATTATTATTTGATTATACAGTTTATACAAAATAATGGAATTTTTAGGAGGCCCATTTTCTGAAATTTCAAATCCAAAGCAAAATCTGATATTACATTTAATATTCAATAATAAATAACAAATAAATCATTTGATATTCTTTCTTTTTTTATTTTTTATTTTTT